TCTCTGTCTGTGGCGCTGATGGTGCCAATGTGCAGGGCGGGGCTGTTGTTCTCGCGGACCCACAGGGTGTAGGACGACTGCGTGAATTCGGGGGCGTTGTCGTTCACGTCGGACACCTGCAGGGTGATGGTGTGCTGGGTTTGCAGCTTGGGGGTTCCCAAGTCGGAGACGGTGATGGTGATGTTGTATTCAGCTTTGCTTTCTCTGTCAAGTGGTTTCTCTGTTTCTAAGGTGTAGTAATTATTAACTGAATATTTCAGTCGAAATGGAATGTCTTCTTCTATAGAGCAAACCATCTTTCCATTGACTCCTGAGTCTCTGTCCCATATACTAAAAACCATTATTACAGTCTCAGGCGAATTTTCTGGAATTGGGCTGGTAATTGATGACACAGCAATTTCAGGATAATTGTCATTCACATCCATCACCTCAATTCTGACAGTAGATTTTCCAAAAAGTCCTCCACCATCTGTGGCTTGAATGATTATCGAGTAGGATTGTATTGTTTCAAAGTCCAGATCTGCTCTTAAACTAACTTCTCCAGACTTCTGATTAATTTCAAATGTGTTTTGAATATCTTCGGAGGCATGGGAAAACATGTATGATATTTCACCATTTATTCCTGAGTCTAAATCCCAAGCTGATACAGTGACTACATGTGAGCCAACGATGCTGTCTTCTGAAATCTTCACTTCATAAAATGCATGCTCAAATTCAGGTGAGTTGTCATTTACGTCCACCACCATGACTTGAACTAAGGCAGTACCAGATCTGGGTGGGGACCCACCATCCAAAGCAGTAAGAATGAAGCTGAGCTCTGGCTGCTCTTCATAATCCAGTGCCTTGTCCATAACTAACTCTGGGTATTTCCTGTTGTCTGGATTGACTCTCATATTAACATGGAAATGAGAGTTTGGGCTTATTTTGTAGCTTTTTACAGCATTGATTCCCACATCTAAATCCTTTGCACTTTCTAGCAAGAACACAGAACCGACAGGACTATTCTCTGGGATTTTTAGGATCATTTCTTTTTCCAAGAAAATGGGAGAGTGGTCATTTATATCTGTCACCTGAAGCTCAATCGGTAAAAACTGCAAGGGGTTTTTCATTAATACCTGGAAATGTAGCACACAGGGCTCAGTGGAGCCACAAAGCTCCTCCCTGTCTAGCATTTCGCTTAAGAGCAAATCCCCAGTATTTAGGTTCAGCTGCAAAGGTAGTCTGTTTGCATTAGAGACCACCCGAGCCTCCCTTGATGAAAGCTTATTCACTTCCAGTCCCAAGTCTTTTACCAAATTACCCACAAAGGCTCCACTCTCAGTTTCCTCCATCACTGAAAAGCTCCTAGACTCAGCGTGAGACATTCCAAATAAAACAAAGAAAAGCAGGACTTGCCTTGTCTGCAGATTGCCTTCCCCTCCGTTCTGCATGACTCCTTTCCCAAAGGCTTTTTAAGAATCACTTCAGCACTACTTTGCAGTTCTAAGGAATGTGTCCCTTAATCAGCACTCCAAACTTCAGAACCCAAAGTATTTCAGTTCCACTGGAATGGCTTCTAGGTCACACCTTAATTGCTTGTTCTTTCTCTCTGGTCAATTCTGTGTGCACCCTTGGATAAGGGTCCACCACACGATGTAGTGTAATTTTTTTCCCCCTGTGATGTTATCCTGCAGCGCCACCATGTGTCTTCACAAAATTTTACAGTCTGATGAAAGCTATTTAAGTTCCATTCACATTGAGGTTCCCAGAAACAAGTATTTCCTCATCCTTTCAGCAATTAGCAATATACTTGGTATCTTATACCGATTATTTTATATTTCTGATGGTTAGTGGTGATATTAGTATTATTTTAATTCAATTAGTAGGTATACTTTCTCCTGAAACAACTAGATAATCTCAATTGTCAGAATACAGACGTACAAGATCTGATCCCTGGTCATCAGGAGTATGTAATTTTTTGGCAAAGATTGTAACTCTTAAACAAGGATAGTGTAGCAGATTGTGAAAGTTAACATAATCTCTACTTGGTCTTTCTTATATGGTAAGAGAATGTGGAAGCGTCCATTGGTCAAGAAGTTTTCTCAAGGGCTATGAAACTAGCAGATAGTTGTAACACGCAAAGGAATTTTTGTAGGTTTCTTTAGTATTAAACTGTCATTTTGTAAAAAATGAAGTAAGATACTGGGGGTACACATTATGTAAATCCGTAATTTGTTTTCAGCTTCTAACAAATTACAAGAAACATGCAACATTAATAAATGCAAACATAGGGGCTGGGAAGGTGGCTCAGTGGTAGAGTGCTTGCCTTACATGCATGAGGCCCTGGGATCGATTCCTCAGCACCACATAAGCAAAAAAGAAAAAAAGCCAGAAGTGGTGCTGTGGCTCAAGCCTAGCACTAGCCTTGAGCTGAAGAGCTGAGGGACAGCACCCAGGCCCAGAATTCAGGCCCCATGACCTGACCCCCCAAAAATAAAAATAAAATAAAAATAAATGCAAACATGTTAGTTTCATTTAAAGAAGAGCTGGTGTTCCCCTTAGTCCCAAGATTTTCCTAAGGACAACTATGATTACCTTCTTTTACAGTCCAGGGAGACAAAAATAGATATATTTTCCCCCAAATAGAACAAAAACACAACAATTACTCTGCTGAGACCACTTCAGCTTATGTTCCTGCTACTGATGTCATTAATGTCACAAAGGGTGAAGTTTCTAGACCTGGAATCTGGAGATATATCTTTGCCCCTTACTTTGATTAACCATGTTTGAGACTGTTTCTTAGCTTGGAGTGACTTCAATCCTAGTCAAAGTACATGATTACTATAGGATGAAGAAATGAGATGAGCAGTGTAGATGCTAGGTGCCCATTAATTGATGTCCAATAAAGAAGGCCCAACATACACTGATGAAAGAAGAATTAAAAAGTTGGCATGAAAATGCTAACTTCACATTACATTCTTAAAAATGTAAGCTGTATATACAGCTGATCCAGGAGAAAATGGTAGAAATTGAAAAGTAGGTGGAGTGACTATGCATCATTATTCTCCTTCTTTTAAGATATTCTCTAAGCTAACAAAATTAATAAAAATTTGAACTCATAGAGACAAAATGGATAAGCAAATATCTGCTTTGATGACAGAAAGCAAATGGAAAAGCCACTGACATAGCAACTCCAGGAAATGGTTAAAGATCCTGCTCTAAAGATACAAAAATTAGAGTTGCATTAAGTTCAAGACTTAGAGGAACCAAGTGCATAAGTAGACTGGAGTTAAGAATAGAAAAAAGTTGTTAGTTGAAAGCATTTATGCAGGAGAGTTGAATTCTTTGTTGCTTACCATTCTACAGAGTCAGAAAAGTAGCTCACTGTCAGGATAGTTAATCCGAGGGAAATTAAATGAAGCTTTCTTTAGTCTTGAATTCCAAGACCAATGCAAGTATGAGGTATAACAGTAAACTAAGCAAAGTAAGAAAGCTATGAGTTTTGAATCGTGAGATTTCTAGTTCCTATCCAAGTAATATCTTAGACTCACTCAGTGGATATTTCAGAATTCTAATATGAAGAGTATGATAGGTCCAAATAAAAGAACTACACATACTAATAGTTGTGGTTTTCCAAAGGTTGCAGCCATATCTTAGCATAATTACATTAGAGAAGAGCCCTGCCATCAACAGGACCTTTTAGTAACTAAGACTTGATTATTAGCATTTAATATGTCATGTTAAATAAGAGAACATATGTAAGGACTATCAGAAATTTGAGGAAATTTCTTTAACATAAAATAGACCGAGACAAAAAGAAACTCATAAAATTGGATGAAAGGAAATGTGTTTTAAATGTCTTAATATCCAGAGAAATTAAATTTAGTAAGAACATTTGCTTAGCATTTGTTTACATCATTTGTTATTCTAAGTGTTTTATACATAGTAACCTTTTTAGTATTCACAGAAATCATATGAAAGATGTGTTCTTAATTGTATAACATATAATAGATTAGGAGTTAATTGTCCCTTTTTAGCTGTATAACTTTTACCAAGTTCTTAACTTTCTTGATTCATTCTTATTTTTAAAATGGATATATAGCAATATTCATACTACACTTTTATAATATATTCTAAGATAATAACTAGATGAATTCTAGTGGAGAAAAGATATTACACTCATAAATATGTAACAGAATAGTATGAAGAGCATTCAGAGAAACAGAAAAAATTTTTGTTGATCATGGGGCTTGAATTATGGGCTTGGGTGCTGTCCCTGCTCTCTTTAGCTCAAGGTGAGTGTTCTACCGCTCAAGCCACAGTGCTACTTCTGGTTTTCTAGTGGTTTGTTGGAGATAAGAGTCTCACTGACTTTCCTGCTCAGGCTGGCTTTGAACTGTGATCCTCAGATCTCAGCCTCCTGAGCAGCTAGGATTACAGGCGTGAGCTACCAGTGCCTGGTAGAATAAGTATTCTAAATGCAACCAACAAGTAGAATAGTACTGAAATCTAAGGGATATTATTTACGGCCTAGAATTTTATACCCTTTAAAACTATCAATCAAATGAAAATAAAAGTATTACTTCACAATGTAAGGTCCCAAAATTTTTACCTCATTTGCCTCAGTTTTTATGATGGTATTGAAAGAAATGTGTTGGCCAAAAAAAGGGAGCAAACTAAGAAAAAAATTGCATTTGTTATTATAAAAGGAGAAGTAACATAGAAAAAATATTTAAAACTAAAAGATCTAGAATGAGAGCAATAGACCAAGAAAGCAGTCTAAATGAAGAAGAGATTTGAATGAAAGCCTTCAGGAAATACATGTTGTTAATTAGTATCAGATGCATTGTAATATTTTAAGTATAAAGGCTAATATTCAATGTTAATTTAAAAAATAATTAATAATTAACAATTAAAATAATTAACAAAGGCTGAGGGTTTAGCTTACCTGCCTAGCATAAAAATGACAGGACTGGCAAAAAAAAAAAGAAAAAGAAAAAAAAACAATCAGAAAGAACCCTAAAAGTTAGGAGAAAATCACCTACATGCAAAATGTGAACATTAACTGTTCATTGCTCATATGTGTATTTAGTAACTGAGAAACAAGAAAGGTAAATCCTTTTTTTATACAAAAAACGTGGCTAAGATATAAAACTGAATGTGAAGATAAAGCACTACAGCTGAGTGCAATAGTTTACACCCATACTTCTAACTACACTATGGACAGATTTCATGGATTGAAATCCAAGACAGACTAGAAAAAATGTTCTCAAAACCCCAACTCAGTGGCTTTGTGAAGTGGTGTGAGTCTACTATTCCAACAAATGGCAGGAAACCTGAAATAGAATATGACAGCCCAGTCTGGCCTCAAGATACAGACAGACCTTCTCTTAAAAACAAGCAGAGCAAAAACGTGATAAATGCAGTGGAAACCATCGCAAGGGTGCAAATCCCAGTGCCACCAAAAAAAAAAAACTGATGAAGAAATATAGACTTGCCATCTAGAAATACTGACATTAATTTCTCAGAAGAAGCCACTCTGTTAAAGGAATACTTTAGATAAAATTGTTATTCCTCATATTTTTTACTTTTTGTTTCAAGTTTGGCAGTAATCAAATTTACAATATAAAATAAAAATATTTCCAACAGTCCACCAATATTCTCACTGAGAAATTTTGAAAATGTTCCAGAGCATACAGCTTATTACATCTTATTAGAATTATAAGAAAATGTTGTTTTATATATCAGCAAGAGTGAACAAAATAAAATATTAGGAACTAATGAGCCGAAGAAACAAAAGGATCTGGGTTAATCCTCAACCTCAGCAGCCACAACAAAAACATCACCAATCACAGAAAAACCTCAGCTGTCTAGATTGAGAATAACAATAAATCAATGTTCACTTTGAAATGACAAACATTAAAAGTATTTATAAATGCATATAGATGTAATTCAACAGTTCATGCAAAAATATTGAAAACGTAACAAGACAAAAGGTAGACTACATGACAATTGAAAGTAAAATTAGTTGTGGTGCATAACAGCATAAAACTACTAATATAGTGCTGTAACAATTCAGAAACAACAAATATAAAGAGAACTTGGATGAAAATTGAATATAACACTACTTCAAAAGGTGGGGTTTTCATCATTATTACAAGGAGCATAAATATTAGGGTAAATCGGTTTCAAGAACTTGAAATCGCTACTCCCAGTAGAACCTCCCTGCAGACACACCTCATACTGGTAGCTGTGGGCCAGAGTCCCCGTGCCACTCACGTCCAGCAGGTGTCCAGGCAAGGGGCCATCGGGCAGCGCGCAGCCGGCCAGCGAGCGCGCCCTGCTCCTCCTGCACAGCCTGGCGGCCACGAAGAGCAGCAGAGACAAGAGGAAGAGAGAAGACACGGCCGCCAGCGCGATGACCAAGTAGGCAGTGAGGCGGTCGGGCTGCGCGCGCTCGGGCGCCTCCGCGTCGGGCAGCGGCAGGTAGGGCTGCGAGAAGCCATCCACCAGCAGCACGTGCAGCGTGACGCTGGCCGAGCGCGGCGGCTCGCCATTGTCCTTGACCAGCAGCAGCAGCCTGTGCTTGGGCGCGTCGCGCTCGCTCAGCAGCCTGGCGGTGCGCACCTCGCCATTGTGCGGCCACACGCTGAACAGCCCGGGCTCCGTGGCCTTGAGCAGCTGGAACGACAGCCAGGCGTTCTGGCCCGAGTCGCGGTCCACCGCCACCACCTTGCTCACCAGGTAGCCCGGCTCGGCCGCCCTGGGCAGCAGCTCGGTGCAGGGCGCAGACGCGTTCTGCAGCGGGTACAGCACGAAGGGCGAGTTGTCGTTGGCGTCCAGCACCTGCACGCGCACCAGCGCCTGGCTGCTGAGCGGGGGCGAGCCGCGGTCGGCGGCGCGCACGCGCACCTCGAACGCCTGCAGGGCCTCATAGTCCAGCGCCCTCAGGGCGAACAGCTGCCCGCTGTCCGCGTTGATGGACACCAGCGCCGCCGCCGCGTCGGCGCCGGGCTGCGGGCCGGGCAGCAGCGAGTAGGTCAGCTGGGCGTTGCTGCCCGAGTCTCTGTCTGTGGCGCTGATGGTGCCAATGTGCAGGGCGGGGCTGTTGTTCTCGCGGACCCACAGGGTGTAGGACGACTGCGTGAATTCGGGGGCGTTGTCGTTCACGTCGGACACCTGCAGGGTGAAGGTGTGCTGGGTTTGCAGTCTGGGGGTCCCCAAATCGGTGACGGTGATGGTGATGTTGTATTCAGCTCTGCTTTCTCTGTCTAGGGATCCTTCTGTCATTAGTATGTAAAAATTGTCCACAGATGGTTTCAGAAGGAAAGGGAGATTTTCTTGGATAGAACAATCCATCTTTCCATTTTCCCCGGAGTCTCTGTCTTTAACTCTAAAAACTGCCAGTATGGACTCAGGAGAGTTTTCTTCAACGTAGTTTGAAAGTGATGACATAATCAGTTCGGGAGGATTGTCATTAATGTCTAATACCTGAAGCCTAACTGTACATCTTGTAGAAAGGCCCCCTCCATCAACTGCCTGAATATTTATTTTGTAAGACTTCACTAACTCATAATCAAGCGATGCTTTGAGAATTATTTCCCCAGACAAAGGATTGATCTGAAACATTGCCTGAATATCTTCAGATGCATCAAAAAAAGAATAGGATATTTCTGCATTGACTCCTGAGTCAACATCTTCTGCTGAGACTTTAACAATAGCAGAGCCTATAGGGCTGTTTTCTGGAACTTGGGTCTCATAAACTGCCTGTGAAAACTGAGGGGCATTATCATTGATGTCCACAACCACAATATGTACAGTGGCTGTTCCAGACCTGGGTGGAATCCCACCATCCAATGCTGTCAGTGTTAAACTGAGCTCCTGCTGATCCTCCCAGTTCAGAGTTTTGTCAAGCACAAGCTCTGGATTTATTATGCCTTCATCACTGTCGCTAATTTCAATATGGAAAATGAGGTTGGGGTTGATGGTGTAATTTTGGATACCATTTAGTCCTTCATCCAAGTCCTGCGCTCTTTGTAGTGGAAATGCTGTCCCTTCAGCGGTATTTTCTGGTATTTTCAATACCATTTCTTTGTTTGGGAATACTGGTGCATGATCATTTATATCCATAAGTCTCAGTTGAGCCCGGTAAATCTGAAAGGGGTTATCCATTAAAATTTGAAAGTATAGAATACAGGGCTCTGTGGAGCTGCATAGCTTCTCCCGGTCTAGTTTTTCATTTGTGAGCAAATCTCCAGTATGAGAATCCAAGAGCAAGTGTTGTTTGTAAGAATCAGAAACCACTCTAGTTTTCCTTGCAAACAGCTCCTCCACCCTTAGCCCTAGATCCTGTGCAAGATTGACCACAAATGATCCTCTTTCTGATTCCTCAGCCACTGAATAAAGTCCAAACTCAGAACCATCTAAGCACACACCCCAAAACAAAAGGAGAAATAGCACTTGCCTTTGTCTCCAGAATAGCAGTCTCTTGGTCTCCATAGCTTCTCTTTTGGTCAGTACTAACCACAGCACAGCGCTCAGCATAAACAGCAGTCCAAAACTTCAGAAGTACTGTACATAGCAGCAGGGATGTAGAATTTATTTTGTTCCAAATCTCAGGCTGCAATAGCTTTTCTTCCCAGCTCATCGGCCAGGTTTCTTTTCTAATTTTTTTTTTTGTCATCGACTTTATCACAGCCTCAGTTCAATTTCCCCCTTTTTCTTTAGCCTGCAGCGCCACCACGTGGCTTCTAACACTCTAAATGGCTGTGTACAATATTTGTGTGTTCTTATGTATTTACTTAAAATTTTCCTTTATTAGTTTTTCTCAATTTTTATTTTTTCTTTTGTGGAAAAAGTTGAGATAGAAATCCATTTACATTATTCTATTATTCACTGATTCATAGAAAAGTTAAAATTTTAAATATTGGGAAAAAAGTTTCTAGAAGTACTTTGTTCACTACCATGCTAGATTTATCTCTCCAAAACCTTTCACTTCTACATAACTACCATGGAACCAAAGGGACTACATAACTACCATGGAACCAAAGGGGGAATTCTGAGTACCTTTTTGGACAACCAAAACAACGGCTAGAATTTGTTTGGAAACATTGAGTACACACACACACACACACACACACACACAAACTGGCAAAGGAAACCTGTTCCACACCTCCTTCAAAAAATGCTTTCAAAATCCCATTACATTACCTGATCAATTGTTCTTTTGTTATCAGAATCCATCATTTAAGCTATCCCTCCTCTGTGCTCCTGTAAAATCTTATTACTATGATTGACCTGTGAATGGCTATACTTTCTATTTCATACCAATCTGTCCATTCTTCAGTATATGAGCTATTTGAAGACAGGAACTATATCTTAGTCATTCCTTAGCCAATCAGTCAGTCAACAATGCCTATTAAGGCATGCATAGAACTTTGGCAAATAGGACAAGGATAGCAGCATTCCCTTTCTTTCAATTCCTACCATTTGAAAACTGTTTGCTTCATTTGCTTGAAATTTGCAATTCTGTTCCTTTTATTTGCCCTCGTTTTTTGGTATATTAGATTTAAAGTAATTTGCAGCATTAAAGAAGGGGTTGATCTTTATTTTTCTAGAGCAAAATAAACTTTATTTTTAGCAAATAACCAGACAACATTCTGTTGGTCTTTGTGGGCTATCAGATCACTGTTATAGCTTAACTCTGAAGTTATCACCAAAAGGCAACTGTAAACAACATTCAGAGAGAGTTTTTCTAGATGCAGTCAAATTTTCAGTAAATAAACAGCTGGCATAACTGTACCAGACTATTAGTAAAGTTTTTCTAGTCTCTCTTTGGGGTTGATCTTTATTTTAAAACCAATCTTAGTTGAAAGCTAATAAGACCTAATCTCTCTGCATCAAAGGAAGAAGACTGGACCTAATGGCACATGGCCGTAATAGCAGCTGTTCAAATGGAGGCAGGAAGATAAGATTATATCTCAAAAACAAAATATACAGATGGAAGTGCTGTGGTGTAGCTCAAGTGCTAGAATTCTGTATAGCATTCATGAGGCATTGGCTCAACCACAGTACCACAAAAAGGCCAAGGATACCCCATATCAAAACAATTATTAAAGCAACCATACTATCATAACATCTGCCTCACAATTTTAATCAAAGGAGGAAAGCAGCAGCAATTCTCCTATAATAATAAGGGGTGTGTAGAACAAAACTAACCTTTCCCAACCTTTAAATCTGTTGACCATAAAAAAGTCACACAATCTAAACTTGTCTTTGATAACTTCTACTATTTATTAAATTTAATGGGATTGAATTATAACACATAACAGATACTTTTGATTTCTTGCGTTTAGACTAAAAGAATGAATTTGTAAATATTTCTATATAATACTGCAAAATGTCTAAAATTTGCCCTTATAATTCCAAAGTTAAGGACATTCACACTCACAATAATTTACAATTTTTCCCTTGTTTTGAGTTAGATAAGAGTATATACTTAAACAACTTATATCACTTACAAACTTAGTTTAAATAGTGAAAATCAAATAGAACATTTAAAACATGACATGTTGACGAGCGTCAGTGGCTCATGCCTGTAATCCTAGCTACTCAGGAGGCTGAGATCTGAGAACCACGGTTCAAAGCCAGCCTGGGCAGAAATGTCCATGAGACTCTTATCTCCAAATTACCACCAGAAAACTGGAAGTGACACTGTGGCTCAAGTGGTAGAGCACTTATCTTGAGCTAAAGAGCTCAGGGACAGTTCTTAGGCCCAGAGTTCAAGCCTATGACCGAAATAAACAAATGAACAAAAACACACAACATACTTGTATGATGATTGTTCTAATGACGATCAAAGATGACTAACAAAAAGAATATCAGTTTATAAAGGAAAATAGAAGACATAAAATATTATTTATGAATATCACTTGCAGTAAAATATTGTAATAAGTCTACAAAAAGAAAACTGGAAAATATATACTAAATTTAAAGTCAATAAAGACATGAATAAAGTATAAATCCTTCACCAAGGATGTAATTTTGTAAAGAAAAGCCTTTTCATTCATTGAGAGTTGGAGAAACATACATTGAAATAAATGAAGAAAAATTGCTCAGTTAAACACAAAATTGGAAATTAATGAATCAAACAAGAAAGTAAATAGCGAGTATTAGCAGTAACGAATGAAACAATTAAATCGCCAAGAAAATAATAAGTGAAGATCCTTCGTAAGCAGATTTCTATCAGTAATTAAAACCTAAACTGTTTCGGAAAGGAGAATTTTCCTCTATCTCTTTCCCAGAGCCCTGGGGCTGGAGATTGGGGATGATAGGCTTCAGGAATTTGAACTCATTAGTGCCAGCACCTCCCTGCAGACACACCTCATACTGGTAGCTGTGGGCCAGGGTCCCTGTGCCACTCACGTCCAGCAGGTGTCCAGGCAAGGGGCCATCGGGCAGCGCGCAGCCGGCCAGCGAGCGCGCCCTGCTCCTCCTGCACAGCCTGGCGGCCACGAAGAGCAGCAGAGACAAGAGGAAGAGAGAAGACACGGCCGCCAGCGCGATGACCAAGTAGGCAGTGAGGCGGTCGGGCTGCGCGCGCTCGGGCGCCGCCGCGTCGGGCAGCGGCAGGTAGGGCTGCGAGAAGCCATCCACCAGCAGCACGTGCAGCGTGACGCTGGCCGAGCGCGGCGGCTCGCCATTGTCCTTGACCAGCAGCAGCAGCCTGTGCTTGGGCGCGTCGCGCTCGCTCAGCAGCCTGGCGGTGCGCACCTCGCCATTGTGCGGCCACACGCTGAACAGCCCGGGCTCCGTGGCCTTGAGCAGCTGGAACGACAGCCAGGCGTTCTGGCCCGAGTCGCGGTCCACCGCCACCACCTTGCTCACCAGGTAGCCCGGCTCGGCCGCCCTGGGCAGCAGCTCGGTGCAGGGCGCAGACGCGTTCTGCAGCGGGTACAGCACGAAGGGCGAGTTGTCGTTGGCGTCCAGCACCTGCACGCGCACCAGCGCCTGGCTGCTGAGCGGGGGCGAGCCGCGGTCGGCGGCGCGCACGCGCACCTCGAACGCCTGCAGGGCCTCATAGTCCAGCGCCCTCAGGGCGAACAGCTGCCCGCTGTCCGCGTTGATGGACACCAGCGCCGCCGCCGCGTCGGCGCCGGGCTGCGGGCCGGGCAGCAGCGAGTAGGTCAGCTGGGCGTTGCTGCCCGAGTCTCTGTCTGTGGCGCTGATGGTGCCAATGTGCAGGGCGGGGCTGTTGTTCTCGCGGACCCACAGGGTGTAGGACGACTGCGTGAATTCGGGGGCGTTGTCGTTCATGTCGGACACCTGCAGGGTGATGGTGTGCTGAGTTTGCAGCCTGGGAGTCCCCAAGTCGGAGACAGTGATGGTGATGTTGTATTCATCTCTTTCTTCTCTGTCTAGTGCTCTTTCTGTTACCAAGGTGTAGAAGTTCTTTCCTGAAGATTTTAGAAGAAAGGGAAGATCTTCTGGAATGGAAGAAACCATCTTCCCATTGGTTCCTGAGTCAGAATCTGAAACACTGAAAACCGCAACTACCGTATCTGGGGAGTTTTCTGGGACCGGGTTTGTAATTGCGGACATGGTCACTTCTGGTGGGTTGTCATTTATGTCCACAACCTGTAGGACAAGGGTGCATTTTCCTGAAAGACCACCGCCATCTGTGGCCTCTATGTCCATTTCATAAAACTTTACTGTTTCAAAATCTACTTGTTTCTTCAGCCGAATTTCTCCTGTCATAGGATTAACCTCTAAAATTTTGTTAGTTTCTTCAGAAGAGTGGGCGAGTGTGTACACTATTTGCCCATAGGCTCCACTGTCTATGTCCCTGGCGGAGACTGTGACCACCAAAGAGCCTACTGAGCTATTCTCAGGAACCTGCACCTTGTAGATAGGCTGCTGAAATTCAGGGGCATTGTCATTGATGTCTACTATTTCAATGCGGACCTGTGAGGTCCCAGACCGAGGTGGAGAGCCGCCATCCAACGCTGTCAAGGTTAGTCTTACTTCAGGCTCCTGCTCCCGATCTAGCTCTTTTTCCAGCACCAGCTCTGGGTATTTCCTACCATCGCTGCGATTACGGGTTAGAACATGGAAGTGAGAGTTGGGACTGATGTTATACTTCTGAACATTATTGTTTCCTACGTCCAAGTCCAGAGCATTATTAAGAAGGAATGTATTTCCTAGTGGGCTATTTTCTAGTATTTTAAAAACCATTTCTTTTTCAGTGAACACGGGAGAATTATCATTTATGTCTTTCACTCTCAGTTCAGCCTGAAATATCTCTAAAGGCATTTCCATCAACACTTGGAAATATAGTATGCAAGGCTCCGTGGTACCGCATAGCTCCTCGCGATCTATTTTCTCATTTATGAGCAAATCTCCAGTCTGTACCTTGAGCTGCAAATGCTCTTTATTTCCCTGGGAAATTACTCTGGCCCGGCGGGTGGACAACTGTGGCAATTCCAGCCCCAGGTCTTTTCCTAGATTGGCTACGAAGGAGCCTTTCTCCATTTCTTCCACCACGAAATAGGGCCCCAGCTCTGTGTCCGCCCCAGACATGCTCAATAAAACAAAGAAAATTAAGACTTGCCTTTGTCTCTGATTTGGTATCCATCCAATCTCCATTGCTTTTTCTTGAAAATTTGATTCACAGAAGCTTCAGGTATTCCTAGGATCCTTGTAGCTCTGTCCTGCAGACCAGAGCGTCAGAACGAAACAGCTGAACAGCTTTTTATAAAGGCTTCTCACTCGCGTTTGCTCCAGCCGAAAAAGCTTATCTTGTGCTTCCAAGCGCCCCGAGGAGAAACTGGCTGTGATATGGGAGTTGCAGTTACAAATGTATATAGTGCATCTTCTTAGCCTGCAGCGCCACCATGCGTTCTCATTGAGCCTTGCATTTTCTCGTTTATCAGGAGGCAAAATTGTCCAAAATGTTGGGATAGGTTATGTTATATAAAACACTGAGTGGTGAGTATAGACAAAGTTCCATAATGTTTCTTGAAAAAGAACATAAAGAGAAAACTACCACTTATATTACTGACTAATGATGCTGAGTGTTTGCTTAAATAATTAGCATTTGACTTGTGAAGACCATGTACTTAAAATATTTTAACTTACGTGGGAACAGTTTCATATGTACATATTTTTCATTGTACTTACAAAAGAATTTAAAAGTAAGCAATACATAAATTACAATCAATGGCATTCTAAGAGTGTACTGCTATTAAAGATACTCCAATAGTGCATACATATTAAAAATGGATTGTCTCTTTCCAACATCTGAAACAGAATTCTGAGTTTTCTGAATTTTAAAATTATTTCTAAGAAGGTAGAAGGTTCTCAGTGTTGGGCATGCATGCCACACTTCTGGATTCTTGAAATAAAAGTTAACAACAGTTTCTTTTATTCTTTAAAAAATTAGGATGTTATTCATAGAGCATACAATACTGTACTCAAAGTACAGGATGCAGGAGTTGAAAATATATTCATGGAGTTCTGTATCCATCATCACAGTCGATTTTGAAATATATCACCTCAGAAATTACATTCTTTAGCTATGTTCCCACTATTTCTCCATTTCTTCTACTCTCCACCATAAGTATTGGTTAGTATATTTTGTCTCCATAGAGTTTCATTTGTCAGACCTTTAAATGGATGCAATGACACATGGACTTTTGTGACTGGTTGCTTTCACAATACTTTCAAAGTTCATCAAGGTGTAGCATGTGTAGCTACTTCTCTACTGTTTTGGGCTGAATGTACCTTGTACTCATTAAGACATTTGGGAAGTTCCCACTTTGGGGGCTATTCCAACTAATGCTACTATGAACATTTATAAACATGGTTTTGTGTGGACATGTCTTACTTCTTGTAGGAATAGAATTACTGGTTATGCAATGGTTTTATGCTTGTTAGAGCAATGGCCAGAATGTTTTCCAAAGTAGCTGCAAGATTTTATATTCTCATCAAAAGTATATTCAGATTCTAGTATTTCAACCCAAGACTTGCAGTGTCACTAAATTATTAATTGGCTCCATCATATTGGATTGCTATAATTTTGATTTGTATTTCATTGATGAATCTTTACATGTGTTTATTAACCATGGACACACAGTCCTTTGAAAAAAAGTTATTCACATATTTGTTCACTTTTATTTGATTGACATCTTTTTCTAATTGAATTGCAAGAGATCTATACATTCTAGATGTAAAAGTTTTCTTGTATTTGGATTCTTGTTGTTCAAGTTTCCCAATTCTATAATTTGAATTTAACTTCAGTGAAGATTCATGATGCAGAGGGCAGGTAATCAGAGGTACAATGTATGTTTATCATGTATGATGCTCTGAGTTTGTTCTCTAGCATATTTTCTCCTCTTCACAAAGTATTTATGATATTCTAGTGAATTGAATGTCTTTGTTAATGGGTTTAAGATTTTTTTTGTTTGTTTTTTGGTCGGTCATGGGAGTTGAACTCTGCCCCTGCGCTCTTCAGCTCAAGGCGAGCGCTCTACCACTTGAACCACAGCACCACTTCCAGGTTTAAGATGTTTTTAAACTATCTTAAATTCAACATTAAGTCAACAAGGCTTAAATTTCTACTATAAATACACACACGCACGCATGCACACACACACATGCACACACACACACACACACACACACACACACAAATCTTCCTTTGGTCACAGGTGGTGTTAATAGAGTGAATATTTTCCCCCAAGCAGTCAATCTGTGGTAGATGCATCACTCATGGGATTCTTATGGAATGGAATATTGTCCACTCAAAGATGTCCCCAAATCTGTATGTTAAACTATGTTTCAAACGAATCTTTATATTCTTGACCATTAAAGAATTTGTGAAAGGAGAACCTTCCTGTGTTATCTAGGTGGAACAGAACCCTTCCAGGTTACTCTCAGGAGATGTAACTATTAAAAAATAACCAGAGAAATTGATGGGAAGGGTTAGGTCAGGGGGATGGGGGAGAATAATGAAAAGGGGGAATATCAATCAAGGTGAAATGTACTTGTAAACTGAATTGGAACTTTTTTGTGTAACTACTAAAGATAATAAAAACATAGTTTACAAATGACCAGAGAAGCAATGTTGCTGGCTTTAAAGTTGGATAAAGGGGCCACAAGACAGGTAAGATTGACAGCATCTAGAAGATGGAAAACAGAAAAACATGGGTTTTCTAGAGTTACCAAAATATAACACATCCCTTTTGCTGATACTTTATTTTAACTCAGACTCATATCAAACTGATCTGTATAACTAAAGAACATATGTATTTATTGTTTAAGCTACTAAGCTTGTGATGCTTTTGTTGGCAATAGAAAAGAGAAAACTAAGAAATAACAAAAGCATGAATTTTCAGTTGACAAAAAGTCAATGACTTTTAAAGAATATTGTTATGTATAACAACTGCTGAGAAATATCTCATTCTTCTCTGATTAGTCATTTTTTCAGAATAAACTCATTGTCTCCCTTATATTTTCCAGTTTAATTTTTAAGAGGGTTTGCCAAAGACATATGCTTATTCTTATAGAAAATAAATGGATCCCAACAGTTTTTTCCTATTGAATTCCTAGATACCTAACTTACTTAACTAAAATTCCTCTGCAACATTCTCTGTACCTTTCTAAAATTTTTCAGTTACAACTAGCACTAGAATAGCAATAGCTCCCAAACACATATACTGAAATAACTATAGTACATTAATGTTAACAAGAATGTGAAAATTTACATACATACACATAATGACTACAAAAAAAGCCTAGCAGATGCAAGAAATGAAACCATAGGGAGACTGTACTGACTATTCAGGGCAGCCATTTATGCAATAATAGATGTGTCATGCTAAAATCATAAGGAGATTACGCTGATTTTCATGAAGATTAATTGGGGTGTGTAAACCATCTTCCTAGACCATTGCTTCTGTAGCACATTGAGATTATCTTTTAAAGTTGTATGGTCACTTGTATAAAAAAATATAGAAATGATTGACTAAAGGTTATGTTTTAGCAGGAGATTTTATTCATGGTTTATGAGTAGGACTAATAGATGAATTTAGTTCTTTAGGAAAACAATGTTACCAATGAATGCCTGCCAATGAAGTATATTGTTTAAGAAGTAAGGCATTATTAAGGAAGACTTCAATTGTTTTTCAAATTTTTCCTTTTATTATTTGGAAGCATAAGCAAGATACTTAACCTTTATAAGTTTTCTTATATGTAAAAGGAAATAATATGCCAACCGCCTTAGGTGAGGAAAAGGCAAAAAGATCATCTCTTTACTAAATTAGAAATCTGGAAATAAGAGCATCAAAAGCTCAATCTGTATACTTAAGCTCTGTACAGTTTAATACAGATAGATAGACAGGTAGATAGATTTAATTCTAAAATTTACCTTTAAATTGCTCAGCTACTTGGCAGAGGAAGACCCAGAGTATTGAGGTTTAGGTTGAGCTAATGATGAAGGTAATAGATTCCATTTCAATAAATAATCTGGCATGATGATGTGTGCCTCTGGTTCTAGATAAGTGAAAAGTACAGATAGAATCCTGATCTGAGACTAACCTGGGCAAAAATGGAAGATGCTTTCTGAAAAAATAACTAAAGAAAATAAGGACACAGGTGTGACTCAAGTGGTAGAGTATGCCTCAGAAGCTCAAGGTCCTAAATTCCAAGCCCAGTGCCAGAAAAAAAACATATCAAAACAAAAATTGGATTCCACGGAAGGTAGTATAAAAACTAATGTGAGTGGTGGCTTACATGAGAAAAAATGCTCCATTAATTTTTACCAGGTACTAATAACTCAAACTTGTAATCCTACCTATTCATGAGGCTGAGATCTGAGGATTGAGATTTGAAGTTTGAAGCCAGCCCTGGCAGGAAAGTCATGAGGCTCTTATCTCCAATGGATCAGCAAAAAGTAACCCAGAAGTGGACCTGTGGCTCAAGCAGTAGAGCAATAGCCCTGAGCAAAAAGCTCAAGCCCCAGGACCAGCACAAAAACGAGTTCATTTCTTGAGAAAAAGAAGTTCAGAAGTAGGCAATCTAGTGATGACAATGTGACTCCAGGGTCACCAGGGATGATTTTTTTTTATTCTATGCTGCTTGTCTTGGTTCCTTGTTTCTACCATTAGAAGTCCAACTAAACAAAGGAGGGAATAACAATGTTCAATAAGAAATGTACTCATTATCTTACTCATGTAACTGTCACTCTCCTATACAGCATCTTTACAATAAAATAAAAATTTTAAAGTCCAACTATAGATGATTTTTATGTGCCTTCTTTCAACTCAGGTGTTATTCCTAGATGCATAATCACATAATTCTTATAGAATGGAACAGAGATGCTAACGGAGGCAAGGAAGGAATTCCTTAACAGATGAAACATCTCCCTTTACACAATCTTCTTGGAGAGTGAGGGGATAGACAGTTCAGTGATAGCATGCTTGCCTAACATGCATGAAGCCCACTGTTGATTCTGAGCAGAGTGTGTGACATATTTACATGTGCACACATGGGGTTCTGGAAGATACTTGCAACATTGGTACATTCTTTTCACAGACTATATTGTCACATATATATAGTTCTGCCAAAAAGACTGAAAACTTATCTTTTTGACTATGCACATTACTGAAAATTTAGGATCTGATACTATAAGAAGAAAAATGAACATTAGCTACTGCAGTTTCTCCATGTTTCTCAAACTGGGGGAAAAGACAGTTTCACTACAATGTTTCTTCATCTTACTATGTAAATATGGTGCAAGTTCCTGCCTTCTTAACATGGATGAAGCTCAATGAAGCAGTTTGCAATTATTATATCCACTACTACTGATATGTGAATGAAAAAATAAGTGCAATTATAGGTCAGTTTAGGAGAAAACAGCATACAAGAAGATTCTGAAACAAGAGCCAGACATTCTACTTATACCAGGTCTCTGCCATACTAATTACACTTCAGTGTGTGTGTGTGTGTGTGTGTGTGTGTGTGACTGCTCTTTATTTACCCAAAGGACTGACAATATAAGACTATACAAGGAAATAAAATTGATATGTAAAATGAGTTGCCATCTTTATTCCCTGTGCATAAACCTGAGCTGTTCCACAACTAGGATTTACATTATACTTGCTTTCATCAGGTTTTGAAAGAAGAAATTTAGAAATGTTCACCTTATACCACGGAGAAAGATGACATAAGCAAAAGATGACATTTAAGCATGCAGACATACTTAAAGTATTTTGAAACTTCATAATAAGCAGAATAGGAAAACAACTTTAAACAACACAAAAATGAAATATTGATTGAGAAAACCAACTATTTTAACTGAATGTAAAAAGCTAGGTCAGATCTACAGTTGCCACTTTCTCTCATTTATGGCCAAAGGAAATGCCTATGCAAATTAGGTTAAATTGGTTTCAGAATCTTGAACTCATTCGTTAGAATATGAAATCATTCCCATTACTGGATATTGAAGCCCAAACTATTGCGGAAGCTAGGCATACCCTCTAGTTCATTCCCAGGGACCTGGGGGGATAGGTTTGGAAACACTGGCTTCAGGAATTTGAACTCATTGGTGCCAGCACCTGCCTGCAGACACACCTCATACTGGTAGCTGTGGGCCAGGGTCCCCGTGCCACTCACGTCCAGCAGGTGTCCAGGCAAGGGGCCATCGGGCAGCGCG